ATACACTGGCATGATCACAGCTAACTGCAGCCTATAATACCTAGGCTCAAGCCATCCTCCTACCTCAACCTCCCAAGTAACGGGGACTACAGGCATGTGCCACCCCACCCAGCTAATTTTTTAATTTTTATTTTTTTGCAGAAACAGTGACTCACTATGTTGCTGAGGCTGGTCTTAAACTCCTAGGTCCAAGTTATCCTGCCTCAGCCTCTCAACTAGCTGGGACTACAGGTTCACACCACTAAGTCTGGCTAATTTTTCTTTTTGTAGAGACAGGGTCTTACTATGTTACTTGAACTCCTTGTTTCAAGTGACCCTCTTGCCTCACCTTCCCAAAGTGTTAGAATTGTAAGGTGTGAGCCACAGCACCAGGCTTGAATGCTGCAAAGTTCACAAAAATCTTTCATCTGTCAATGTGCCTAGTTTCATATTGTTTCTTTCTTTTTTTTTTGAGACAGAACCTCAAACTGTCACTCTGGGTAGAGTGCTGTGACACCACAGCTCACAGCAACCTCCAAATACTGGGATCAAGTGACTCTTCTGCCTCCGCCTCCCAAGTAGCTGGGACTGCAGGCGCCCGCCACAACGCCCAGCTATTTTTTGGTTGAAGCCATCATTGTTGTTTGGTGGGCCTGGGCTGGATTCGAACCCCACACCTTGGGTGTACGTGGCTGGCGCCTTAGCCACTTGAGCCACAGGCGCTGAACCACTATTTCTTTTTTTTCAATCAAATTATATTAATTTTGAACCTGCCACCTCCAGCATATGGGGCCAGTGCCCTACTCCTTTGAGCCACAGGCGCTGCCCTGAGCTACTATTTCTATCTTATATAATTTCATCCCTCTTCAACTCATGAATCACATTTATCCTGAACACCTGGCTCAAATCTGATCTCTTCTGTGAAGGTCACTAGTCTACTTTCTTAACTTCCACAGGAGGTCTATCTGTACCTTAACTGTATTCTACCTCAAATTTTATTTCATTCTGCACTATTTTTCTGATCCAATTATTTAAGGTAAGCAACCATATCTTTTGTGTCTTTTATAAACTCAGAGCCAACTTTAGTGTGTGGTACCTAAAAGTGCTGCATAAGTATGTGATCGATCTATACATCTATAGTTGACTATTGCCTTAGGTCCCCTTACTGGTGTTAGTGTACAGACTACTCTCTTTGAATTTTAAGTTTCTTTTTTTATTTTCCTTTGAGACAGAGTTTTATTATGTCACCCTCGGTAGAGTGCCCTGGCGTCATGGCTCACAGCAACATCAAACTCTTGGGCTTAAGTGATTCTCTTGCCTCAGCCTCCTTAGTAGCTGGGACTACAGGTGCCCACTGCAACACTCAGCTATTTTTTGTTTGCAGCTGTCATTGTTGTTTAGCAGGCCTGCGCTGGGCTTAAACCCACCAACCTCAGTATATGTGGCCGGCACCCTACTCACTGAGCTACAGGTGCCAAGCCTGAATTTTAAGTTTCCATCCTGTATCATCTTATGTATCAATCTACAATACATGATTTTAAAAAATATCAGCCTTACCTCCATTTCCATGTACGAGTCCTTCTGAGATTTAATTACTCTAGGATTTAAAGGGAATGGATCCATGGGGGCATCTATCTGTTTCATTTGGAAATCACCATGTCCAATAATATGTAGCAAGCTATTTACATTCAGAGTCTGCCCACGAACATAGCCTGAAATTTTCAAGGTGCCCACCAAATCATTCTCTTCATTAGGCACAAAATCAGCAACATGGGCAAACATGTAGGCCCGTCGATCTCGAAAAGCAAGATGCCGTTGCTTTTGGTTAGCCAACTGCCTGAGCAGCATCCCTGCTTCCTGCTGAGTGTCTAACTGGAAGAGTTTGTCATCTGGAAAGCGTTTCTCCACAGCTTTACTTAGTTTCTTTCTAGCATCTATTTGTTTCTTCAGTGGGAGGTCAGAAATCCCTTGGACAGCTAGTGCTGTAAGGAAAAGAGAAAGGGCTTCATGACATATTGATTCACTACATGAAAATCCCCCTACTTCACAACCTAACAGCTCAGTTGTAAGCCCAAAGATCACTGGGAAACCTAATACTTGACTACCATGAAAGAATTTCAGTGAAATCAAACTTTATCTTCTTTCTCTGCCCAGAAATAAAAAGGCACCTTGGCTCAGTGCCTGTGGCTCAAGTGGCTAAGGCGCCAGCCACATACACCCAAGATGGCAGGTTCTAATCCAGCCTGGGCCCACCAAACAATAATGACAGCTGCAACAACAACAAAAAAATAGCCGGGCGTTGTGGCCAGCGCCTGTGGTCCCAGCTACTCGGGAGGCGGAGGCAGGAGACTCGCTTGAGCCCAGGAGTTGGAGGTTGCTGTGAGCTGTGATGCCATGGCACTCTGCCCAGGGGGACAGCTTGAGGTCCTATCTCAAAAAAAAAAAAAGGCACCTTGACTGATAATTTGCAAACAATGGACCAAGCTTAATCCATACAGGTATACTCCACTAGTTAAAAACAACTCATCACAGCACACTGTAAATCACAGCTGCTCAATAACTGCTAATTCACTTACTTTCCCAGACTCCAATATGCCATTCACTTACTATACGTGGGAAGTCCCTGAGCAAAGAGGCAGGAAAGGCAGTAATTCCCGGTGCTGTCCCAGCCTTCTAGTGGATCAAGGAGGAACAGGATGGTATCAGCTACTTTAGCCATGTCTAACACTGTGTGGAGATCTCCTGGAGACAGAAAACAAATAGATGGTTGGCAGCAACACATTATAATACTCAAAAACAACTATCCCTACTCAAATAATAGAAAATATTGTTGTATATTCTAACCTGGCATTGCAAATGTGAAAAACCACCGATGTTTCAAGCGAGGACATAGTAGCATAAAAGTATGGGTGCTTCCTCGTTCATTCAAGTGTACCATTCCACTGTCCCTGTCTTGAAGCAGCCGAAAGGCCTCTGACAGGGAAATCCTGTTGTGCAGGGGCACCACCAGTACCTGATGAGGAGGGCCATCCTTGCTGCCCAGCTGTCTCTTCTCTGCCAGAACCTGAGAATGGAAAAGATTAGCAAACATCTCAATGTCTCAGAACTGTGATCCAGTACTGCATTTCCAACAGCACTGATGCCCATTTCCTCCATCATGCATCAGCCGGTTCGCACAAGTTCTGACCAAAGCAAAAAGTGCCCTAGCGAGCCTAGACTTGCACGCTGGACATGTGCTCTAGAGTTATTCTCTGTCCTTGGCCCCTTCCCTGGGTCTCGTTCGAGGCATTACCCACCTAGAACGGGTGAAAAGCTGCACCATTTCTCAACCCCAGCTCCTCTTACCGCCTCCTTCTTTTGCTTTCGGAGCTGGTTGGAGCGATGCCTCTGGTCTACTCTGCTGAGCTCTTTTCTCACTTTCTTGCTTAGGCTTTTCGGTGCTAGGCGGCCTGGAGGGAAGATCAGAAGGGGCTGTTGTGTTCAGTACCAGGCCAAAAAAGAGGTCCCTCTACGCCCACCTGAGAAAGGGCCTTTCGTGTGGCGCCTAGGCTGGAGACGACAGCTCAGTCTGGGAAAGGGGATGAAGTTAATATTAGCTAAAACGCCCTTCTTCCTACTATCTTCTCACCCTTGCCGTCCCTCTGTGCGGATCCCCGACCCCGATGCCGCCCGCCTTTATGGGCTTTGTTCTGCTGCTTGAGTGGGCCTGAGCGGTGCGCCGCCATGCTGCGGCTCGCGTGCACCAAGTCAGCCCCACTTCCGGGCCAGGCCGAGCGTTTCCGGTGCCATCCAAGGGGCGGGCTCTCTTCCTGACGGCCCGGGCTCCCGGCGCCCTCTAGCGAGGGTCTCTTCCCTTCAGCTCTTAAGAGCTCCGCGCCCGCCCCTCTGCAAAGCTGCGGTGGGAACTTTTCCCACGCCGCAGTCTGCGACTGGGAACTTTAAAACGCTGGATGTAGACTCGCCGGGAAGGGCTTTCGATCCAAGAGAGCTCTTTTTTGCTCCCTTATATTTTATTTTTTACGATGTAAGGTTGCATCACGTAGGAAGATGCTGAATGAGAGATTCCGTGGGGAAGAGGCCACCGTCTCTCGCTCTCACGCAGATTCGGGCATGCAGCTTTTCAATTTCCAAATGCAAATGTTATCACTCCGAACCACCTTTCCCTCAACTCCCTATAAGGCTGGTGAAGTTCTAAGGCGAATTGCTGTAAGAGAATTCTCCCACCTTAACTTGCTCCGTATATGTTCCCGCCAGTCCCTGTTACTCCAGCCCGCGCTGTCATTACCCACATAGCAGCAAGAACGGCCAGACGAGACGTGGAGACTCCAAGGGGGCGGGGGGAAAGCTGTGACCCTCATGCTTCTCTTCCCACAAACTTTAAAACTCAACGGCGACGGCTGGGTAGGAGAACGCCAGGCGACGAATGCTGGCTTCCCCGTGAGAAGGCTAGAGCTGCAGGGGACCCAGTGTCCCGGCCCAGCCCTTTCATCTCCCTGCTCTGTACCTCCCGTCGGAAAACAAGCAGGTAGAAGTCTGAGGACATCTAGCTGGATTGAGGCCCGCCCTGGCGCGAGTGACTTTTCCCCAGAAGCAGAGCCTCGGGGTACAGTGTCCGCCAGGAGGAGAGCAGTGCCGAGCTGGCTGCAGGCGCTCACAATGCGGCTTCGCGCCCTCTAGGCGGGAACAGGTGCGTTACCATGACAGCGACCCCCGTGGCGCGCGCCCGGGCTCGCCTCCCTCAAGAGCGCGAAACCTCCCTCCGTCCAGACCCCCCCCCGTCGCTGTGCGCAACCCCCCTTCCGGCCGTGGGAAGGGGGCGGGCCTGCTGCCTGACGTCTGTGCGGGGCTCGGAAGATGGCTGCGGAGCCGAGCACCGGGCAGTGGGTGCGGCGGTGGCGGCGGGCGGGGAGCGCAGCGGGCGGGGGCTCCGCCTCTCGCGTGGGGCGCTGAGCGAAGAGCGGAGGCGGTGAGGGCGCGTGGGGGCACTGGGGGGCCGCTCGGCGCCGCCTCCCCGCCACATCATGGGCAGCGCGGAGGACGCAGTCAAAGAGAAACTGCTATGGAACGTGAAAAAGGAGGTACAGTCGGGGCAAGGACCCCGGGGGTCTTGCGCTGTGACCTGCGCAGCCCAATGGGCTGAAAGAGCCTCTCCCGCCCCGCCGCGCGAGCGCCTCGGGGCCAAGCCGGGGCCGGGCGGGGGCGGGGTCCTGGACGGGCTGCGGCTCTAGCCTCACACCAATCTGGGGCAGTGCTCCGGGACCCGAGGGGCCAGGCTGGCGCTCCAGGGTTTATCTGCTTCACGGTCCCACGGCTCCCCGCCCTGTGACAGCAGCAGCGCTGGGAAACCGAGGTCGGGGGAGGGGTGGCGGCGTTTTCTAGAGAACCGGAGCTTTCCATTCATCGCCTGGGCCGCCTGGGGAGAGGCGGGGCCCGCGCGGGCCTCCAGCTGCGCTAAGTTGCGAGGGGGGGTCGCGATTTGAGGGCTTAGCTACCCTTTGCTCTCCCTCCTCTCTGCCCGGTATCCCTCGGGCGACTGAGTCCTGGCTGCGGGAGGGTTCGCTGCACATCTCACAGTTTCTCCCTCCACGCCCACCTCCTTACCTAGGGACTGGGGGTTTTTGGAGAATGATTTTTAAAACTCAGATTTTTTTCCCTTTTGAGGGAACCCCCCCCACTTCAGAAAGAGAAAAGAGTCCTTCCTTCTGCTAAGACTCGTTGCCTTGACCCTGCCCAAAAGCCCTTGTCAGTGGGTTGGGGGGGGTTGCCCATATGAATGACTCACTCCCGTGTGAGAACAGGAAAGCTCAAAACGGCAGAGTAGATTATAATGTTTTAGGCCTCCTTCCCCCTCTGCCTCTGTTACTGTCCTTTGCCAGATAAGTAAAAACTCCATAGCAGGGAACACCCCCCCACCCCGTGCTTTATCCACTGTGCTGTGTCTAGAGTCTGGCACACTGTAGGCACTCAGTGACTATTTGGTAATTAAATGTACTGATCTTGGAGATTTGGGGGAGGAGGGACAGAGTCTCATGTCACCCTCGGTAGAGTACCATGGCCTCATGGCTCACAGAAAAACCTCACACTCTTGGGCTTAAGCTATTCTCTTGCCTCAGCCTCCCAAGTGGCTGGGACTACAAGACGTCTGCCACAATGCCTGGCTATTTTTTGGTTGTAGTTGTTTGGCAGGCCCTGGCTGGATTCAAACCTGCCAGCTCTGGTGTATGTGGCTGGTGCCCTAGCCTCTGAGCTATAGGCACTGAGCCTGATCTTGGAGATTTTTTTTTTTTTTTTTTTTTTTGAGACAGAGCCTCAAGCTGTCCCCCTGGGTAGAGTGCTGTGGCATTACAGCTCACAGCAACCTCCAACTCCTGGGCTCAAGCGAGTCTCCTGCCTCCGCCTCCCAAGTAGCTGGGACCACAGGCGCCCGCTGTCATTACCGGCTATTTTTTTTGGTTGCAGCCGTCATTGTTGGCGGGTCCGCCCTGGGGATTCGAACCCGCCACCTTAGGTGTACGTGGCTGGCGCCTTAGCCGGTTGAGCTATAGGCGCTGAGCCGATCTTGGAGATTTTGAGGTCTGGTGGGAAACCATAAATTTTGAAATAGTCTGGATTTAGTTCTCTGTGACCTTGAATAAGTTGCTTAACCTCTTTGAGTCTAGATTTCTTCATCTCTAAAATAGAGGTAATTCTATCTACTTTATTTATAAAAGTTTACATTGGAGTCCTTCTCAGAATTTCAGGATTGGGGGAAGAGTCTGTGTTCTCATAAAAGCCTGGAAAGCTTTAGATGGTTCTTTGGGATCTATGACCCTGCTACTGTGTCCTAACATCTGTTCCTTTCCCTCTAAAAAGATGTAGTTGAAGTTGTCACCTTCCTAGCTTGTGGGAGAAGCTTCACTGTGCCTTTGCTGTGTTGTAGCCAAGGAAGAGTTTCTTAGTCCAGGGGTTTATCAAATCAACATTTAAGTCCCAATTCTGCTCTCCCCAGAAATAGAGAAATCTCAGGGATTATCCTTAAGAAGAAAGCAATGTAGTGAGACTTGTTGGAAGAGTATAAACAAAAACAAAAGTGTCAGTACCCAAAGTGTAGATAGATGTGCTGGGATTATTAGAATAATCCAAATTATTCTAAATTCGGAAGTTGGTAAAAGATAATGAGAACAATTTTGAAGACAATGATTTTTCCCCAGTATCAGGAAGGCTTGACAATACCACTCCAGGAATGATTCCTAAGAAACTGTGAGAAATGTCCAGAATATGCTACAGCTGTGTGTCTTACCCACCAAAAGTTGGCTTGCTTTGAACTCAGTGCATTTCCCTTCCGATGTCAGTGCTTTATTTCCACAGAACCATATCCTTTTCTCTCCTATAAGATGAGACAAGGGGATAATTGTAGGCAAGGCTGGCCTTTCACTAAGGACCTCTCTTATAATTCTAGGATCATCAGTATGTCTTCCTAACCCCAAAATCTGTCCCACCAGCCTGGTTCAGATGCCTCCTGATCTTTAGCTGTGACATTATGCTCTGTTTAATGCAAACACCCCTGGGGAAGTAATCTAGAAAGCTTTTAACAGTTGAGAGTGCAGGAATCGATCTGATCCCCATATATCTAACCACTAACCATGGGCAGTTTCCAGAAGGGAGAAGCCTCGAAGTCCTTCCTCCCTCCTGCCTAGGCTTCTTATACTCTCCCACCCTTTGAACTATTCAGTCCTGGGAGAGTGACTTGGGAGCTAGGGCAGCGTCAGAACATTTCATACCTAACCAAAGAATGAAAAAGACTAGCTTTGCGCAGGGCTTACTGCAACTGTAAGATTTTATGCTGGGGTTGAAGTAACCTATCTCTCTAATATCCAATATTAGTATCTGTCTCCTGTCAGGCTCCTCTGCAACTATCTACAACATGAACAAATCTCAGAATCATACAGGTAAGCAAAAGAAACCAGTCACAAAACCCTACACACTAAGTGATTCCATTTATAAAAAGTATAAAAACCGGCTTGGCGCCTGTGGCTCAAGCGGCTAAGGCGCCAGCCACATACACCTAAGGTGGCGGGTTCGAATCCCC